ATTATTTATGAGAAATATATTATTATATTTCAGTGGGATTCATTAATGTATTAACATATGAGTAATTATATCAATATATCTACCTCTTATATATGCTTAAAATTATATAAAATATGTATTATATATATTAAATAAATATTAAATTTATTTAGACTATTATGTCTTCTTACATAATTTGAGTTATCCAATATTGTTGATAATAAAATCTAAAGGAATATATTTTAATTATCATGTGGAATGTATAATGATTTATCGTGGACGTCTTATATGTTTCTCTTAAGAAATTTATTTTATGATATGATTCATTTATGAGGTTCTTTATAATGTACATCATTTTTAGGATATATTTCATGCCGAACAATTATATATAAATATATATTTATTATTGTCAACAACTAATAATTTTTATAATTTCTTATATATATTATTAAATATCAATAAATTCATATGTTTTCTAGCACTTTTTTAAGATTATTCAGCTGAGTTATATAATATATTGTGTTTATTTTGAATAATATTTTTGTATGATTGTTCAAATAAATTCATTAATTCGTAATGTTTTTTATTTTTTCTATTTCCACATATTTTTTAACTTTCTTCTTCTTGGTTGTAAGTATAAACAACAAACAGTATACTGAAATTTAAGAAAAAATATGATATTTCTATGATAAATGCATTAATTATGTATTATATATTTATTATAAAATATACTATAAATATTTACCCAGTAAACATTTAATTAAATAAATTTATTATTAACATTATACACAATAAATATAATTATTAATATTGCAAAAAATAAAAGACCCGTGCTTGTCCACATTACTGAAGATGCAGTATCTCCTGATATTGCTTCTGCTTTGGTTATGTTTTTTGGTGGTATCATCAAGGAAGAATTCAATAATCCAGGTTTACATTTGTATGTACTTATTCCTTTCAAATATATATGAAAATGATCTCTAAATTTATCCATTTCTTCCTGAATACTACTGTAATCCCCTTTTCTATTATTATTAATAATTTCCTCATATATATTTACACATGAACTAACGCCACCTTCCATATCATTTTTTTTCTCTTTTAATTCTTTAAAATCCTTATATAAATTATCATACAATTTGAATATATTATATACATCGTTATTCATTAATAATATATAATCTTTTCATACATCAAGTCCTTCTAAACCTATATTATTATATTCTTCTATCAGTTTATCGTGAATCTGATCACGCTTATAAAGTGTAAGGTATTTATTCATTGCTTCACGTTTTAGTTCATAGATAAAAAAATTACAATATTGTTTTATATTACTTTCATCTTTTATTTTATACAAATAATAAGCAATTTTGTCTCAAGCCGAATAAAAACTATTATGCCAGTGACTATAAACACGACTAAAACAATTGCAAGCCGGTGATATTTTAGAATTATATAAATGAAGAACTTTTTCAGCGCCTCGTAAACTGAAATATTATAATGATCCTGACATTCAGGAAATATATACTTAAAAGATATCTAAAATTTAAATTTGTAGTGTACACGGATCTTTTATATAATAAAAATATTTCTGTTAGTTATTCATAAATAGGACAATTTTAAATATAAAAATATGAACTACAATTTAAATATATGTAGAAACTTACTTCAGCTTTCGCTTGTTGGACGTTACTCATTATATTTTCTAATTAATACGAAAATAAAATTATACTATTACTACAATTTAGATGTGCTAAAAATAGTACATTTAATATTATATATATATATAATATATATTATAATTATTAAATTATAAATATAAAAATAGTAGTAAAAATTTTCATTTTAATATATTAAAATTTTATAGTATAAGTTTTTCTTATTATCTAAAATGTTTATTGTTTATATATAGGATTCAATCATATAATTTTAGATTTTCGGTTCTAAATTTATGATTTGTGTTTTTTATCTTAGTATTAAGGGTCAAGTTTCATTTATTTATATATAGTCACATAAAATGTATATATAAGGTTTCCATATCCATATATATTTAATTTATATTTATTATTTTGGGATTAACATAAATATAAAATTCATTATATTATTTTTCTTATTAATATATACAATATTAATAGAGATTTAATATTTATACTATTTGCTTTTTATGTATAATTTGTGTAAATATTCTTTACATAAACATTATTGATTATAATAGATAATATTTTTAATTTTTATGTAATATGTTTGTACAAATGATATTTATACACTTAAAATTAATAATTTTTATAAAAAGATTTGTCTCAGTTAATTCTCCATACATCAGATTTGTTATACAATTTCATTTCGATTTTTCATTAAGCTCATTTTAATGTTTTTTATCTTACTCGAAGATTATATTTTTTTTAATTCTCTAAATTATATTTGTTTGGACTATTATTTTTCCATTGTTTATGGGAAAGAAATAATATGTATTTTTACATAATAACGCATATTTATTAATGCAAAAATATATGTTTGTATGTGTATTTGTTTCTATAATTCCATAATATATTTTAACATAAATTAATAAATATATTTACCTAATGGTTCTAATCAATAATATCACTATTTACTGTTTTATATATATCATGCATTATTTATTATTTATATATATATTAATGCACTTTTTTCGTAAAGGAACCATTGATATACTTTTTAAATACACACTGAATTATTGAAAGAAATGTTCATTGAATATATTTATATATTTCATTTTTTTATTTATGCCCATGTAAAAAATATATGTAAAAATTTATTATTACAACAATATGGATAATTTTACTTGAGGTATGTAATTAATTTTATTTACAGTATAATTATATTTAAATCATAAATTAAAGATGAAACATAATTTATACTGTACAAAATTATTAACGTTATATGTAATATTTAAACCTTAAAAGAATTGGAAATATTTTTTATCTTTTAAATTTTAAAATAGCGTTATATTACATATATTTGATAAAATAAGTGTTTTTTTTTATACATATTTTTTTTTGT